TTTAAACTTTTAATTGAATATTTTAAAAGGCAAAATTCAGGTCAACATGCAACTGAACCAAGTTTTCAGAGGGATTACTACTGGGCACATGTTTGTTGTTGGCAGTACCCTTCCTTTATAAATAAATAACATTTAGATAAGATCAGAAATATGAAACCTCATAAATGCTGCTTATTTTAGCAGCCTGGAAGTGGATCAGCAGTGGGACTGGCTGTGGGAGCCCAGTCCTACTACTGAAGATTTATTTCTGCTATGTGTTCATTATAGATCAGGACCTGTCACATATGGTCGATGATGAACCCTATGATTACAAGTTTGTGAAGTGGCTGATTAAAGAAAAGGTGAATTAATGGCACTGCACCATACAGTACTTCTTAGTTTTATTGTAGTCGTACTCACACTGCAGTCATTATCCTTTAATGTTTTTTTTCCTCTTCTTATTCTGTTAATATATTTTCTGTAGAAACTGGCAACTATTCCTGTCACAGCATTTGTTGGAGATGAGTCTAAGGAGCAGTTTGAGAAATATATTCGGTTTTGCTTCATTAAGGTAAATACAGAATTGTCTGTTAAAAACCACAGAGGCAGCCCGTTTAAAATCATCCACTGATGATATGTAAGTGTTGGCTGAGGTTTTCTCTGGTGAAATACACAATATTTTGATAACGTGCCGTTGTCTTTCTCCTAACAGCAAGATAGTACTCTAGATGCAGCAGAGAACATACTGAAAAACTTGCACAAGACTTAGTGGGAGGCAGTGTCTGAAGCACAGTTCCTAGAGGAAGAACTGGCCAAAATGAAGGAACAGGATTTGACCCGAGCCAACCTTTCTGGATCCTCAGCCAGACTGTGCATACTGTACATGTAGCTTCTGGCAGCCACAAGAACATGGACTTCTGGATAAATCAGCATCAATTATTTGCTAATAATGCTCACAGAAACTTCCTGTACCAGCATTTGCATTTATAGGTCTTATATATTTTATATATTATTGTGGATTTGACATATTATTATGGTTCTCACATATTCTGTAGTGTCACATTTGCCTTCTCACCCTTGTGAGCAATTGTGAAAAGTTCAAGTCAAAGTTTATTCATAATAAAAACTACCACCCAATAATTAAACTACCCCGAGGTATATTAATTAAAACTAATTTCACCGTTGTTGGCTGCACCTTTAATTTATCCACTCATTAATCCATCAATAATCATAATAATCCAATCTAAAATACATTATTCTGAAGTGAGTCCTTGTGCATAATGAGTACCTCTGACAATATTTTGATGGCAAGATTTGTTAACAAAGTATTTCTACACTGTGGTACATACTTTACCTAAGAGATGTTAGTGTAGTAAGTTACCTCTTCCATCCGTGATTGTTACTATAACATCCAGTGGTGCAGGAAGTATTCAGATCTTTCACTTAAGTAAAATATATTGCAGTGTTAATAATAATCTATGACAAGTAAAGGTATCAATTATGCAGAACATTGGTTCTTTATCAGTGTAACATTATTATCTACTGTATGTATTATATAGTAGTGCTGGGGGCAGAGAGACACTTGGAGGGGTCCACCAGAATGCTCCTCTGGGCGGGATTTATTTAGTTCATGGTTGGCGGGATTGTTTTGGTGTGCTAGGTGTGTTCTGTGTGGTTGCCAAAGTGTGGGGGGAAAAATAAAGTGGAGAAAAAAAGCAGCTTCTGTCTCCAGCTCCTTCCTCAAGCTAGTCTGCGCTACAACATTTCTATTTTTACTGTATTGTCATGGCCACCACTCTTTGTACAATGTAATTATAATATTTTATGGCTGTAGCTAATTTTAACTATAAGCTGGGCAATTTCCAAACATCTGGGGTGATGATAAAGGGGACAGGATATACTGTACAAAATTCTGCCAGACAAATTTGTACTCGTTTTTTTTAGACTTTTCTTTAGTCTTTGCCCTTTTTGTGACATATTGAATCATTTAAACAGTTTTTAAATAAACTGACCTGACACCTTTACAGGTAAAATCACACTGCAGAGACTGGAAGCCAATTGTTTAATCTTTGGCAGCACATTGAGCTTTGTAAGCTTTAATGTCAAACTAAAGCAGGAACCCAGTAGCTGTGAAATAAATGTAGTAAAACACATAACATTTTCCTTAGACGCTTTTACTGAAAGTGAAAATACAAAAACTACAAGTACCTCAGAATTGTATTTGTGTTCAGTACGTGAGTAAATCAACTAGTCAGAGTACCTTGGTCTGGTGCCATGTAAGGCTGATATTTCCAGCCCCTAAATCATTTTTATTAGTCTAAATGCTGGGAATTGCTCATCACACTCCACTTTCCTCCTGTGTTCCTTCTGCAGAAAAGCTTTCAAGCTGTTCTGAACACTGTCTTTACAGCTGTTTGAGATCACACACGCTCTTAAAAGCTTCTACAAACACTGGCATTTGATGATTTTCTCTAGTTGCTGCTAGACAGAAAGATAGTGCAGATCCATTGTATTGTATTAATAATGTAAAGTGTTAGATTGCCATAGGGTAGCCTAATTGTATTTTCCTTTCCATCTTCACAATAGCACCACCATAGTACTTTAGATGTAATGTAGAACAGAACTTGGAGATGAGATTTTGGCTTGTGTAAGGGGCAGTCACTCAGTGAACCACTTTGGACCAGCAAGATATTAATATAAGCAGAAGAAAACACTCAGTCAATACAATGGCCCTGCAATTCAGTTCTCTTAAGGAATGCTGAAAATATTTCAGAGAGGTTTTGGTTCAACTTTACGATCAGTGTGGAGGCTGTTGTTTGTGGTTCTGTTCAACTGCACTGAGAGTTCAAACTAAACAAGGTCAGAGTGCTTTTATCCATTATGCTGCCCACAGCTGGAACCAGCGCCCATTAGAACTTTGGTCTGCCCCAACTGCAGCCTCTTTTAAAACTAAGCTAAAGAATGTTCTTTTCCCCACTGCTTTTGATTATTTACCTTAATTCCACCCAGTTTTGCACTTTATCTGCTTTTATTTTTCTTCCATTACTTGATGACCAATTGACATCACTGTGCTGTTTAGCAGACTGTATAGACACTCATGTGTCTGTTGCAACTTTATGCTGTCATGTAATTGTTGCTTTTATTTTCATTTGATGCTTTGGTTATGTCTTAACAAAATAGTAAAACGGTATTACTTTAATTTTCACCCATTAATAAAGTAGCCAAGAGTCATTTTGTTCCTGAGAACGCGGTCAATTCGCAAAGACAACAGATAACGGAACTATGTCTGCACACGCACTCCGTGAGCTACTTTTGTCCCAGCACGGACGTATTCAGTCGACGCACTTTCCGGTTTTTTCGTGGGGATTTATTTTGGTGATCCCCACCGAAGTGTAAGTGGAATTAATCTATTTTATATATATATGTCTAAGAATTTGCATGCGAAATGTCATCCAAATACATAAAAAGCTGCATGTCTAATTCCTATACCGAAGTTACTTTGATGAAATATCGCACTAAGAATGCTAAAGTCGCCCTTGGGCGACGGGCTTTCCCCCTGTAAAGTGCAGGATCTTATTGTGAAGGACGGAAGTACGGTAACATGTTTTATCATTAATGTTTACTTGGTCGAGACAGAAACAAGCTAATAATCATGGCGAATAAAACACCGTCAAAATCAGGCATGCATGGCGCTTACAGCATAGAGATAAGAGGTCCGTGAAGGGACATTATCAGCTCACGGCTAAAACTCCGGGGTTGGCATTCTTTTGTTGCCTCTAGCTAAAGCAATTCTAAAATAAATGACTCGCATGATATATAGCTAGAACGGTAAGAAGTTAAACTTGGGTTTTATACCGTTACATTAACTGGAATCGTCACACTGTCGATTGTTGTTAAATAAACATTTTAACAGAATGTTAGCTAAAATGCGTCCGTGATAGGACACAGTTACGTTAAGACATTTTAACAGAATGTTAGCTAAAATGAGTTACGTTAATCCTGGATTAGCATAATTAATAATAATTAACATAATTTTGAATGTCATCTGTCTTATGAGCTCTTGCTATCTCATTGCTGTTTTCTTTTAGTGGTGGAGTTTAGTTTATGTGTTAAAAGATGCACACCGTATGTGGCTGAGTTCTAAAGGTCCAGGTGACCTGTGTGCATGTTTGAACAGCTGTGCTCTGCTATGCTGCACTTACATGGGCACGTTATTTCAGTGGCATCAACACTGTTAGCATATAGCATATCAGTGGCATGGAAACACATTAGACAATAGAGCTGAACTGCCAGAAACTGACGACTACATTTCAATCAAAAATGTTAATACTCTTACTTTCAAACACCTTTGAAACATATAGGTCTGTAAGTCAGAAATTGCAGTGCTGACCTCTGGCGACTGATTTAAATGTCCAGCCTACAATTCACGTGTTGTTATTAAGAGTGTCATAATAAAATGCTCCAAGGGTAGGGTTCCAGGATGATCCCATTCTTTGATTAGACAGAATGAATGTACTGTAGAGAGAAACCAAAGAGTTTTCAGACCTGCGACACCACACAGTTGTTGTCGTTTAGACCTCAGCTCAGGCTGAAGTTGGGCAGAGTTAATGATGGGAACAGATCTTTCTCAGTGGTATTTTGACATGTCACAGCAGGATGGACATAATACAGTTCCATTTAGCTGCTTTGGCATTATGAATACTGACTCACTGTCACACTGTCATTGCTCACCAGAATGCTTGAATACAGCAGAGTCCTCTTTACTGTTATTAGTAACACCTGTGCTTTTCCTACTGTGACAGGTCAGAATGTCTAATGTGAAAAGGGACAGAGGTCTCACATTAGGTGAGTAGTTTATGAATATACTGGAAAAGTAGCAAACTAATCCTTTAATACAAGCAATAAGAAAATACCATTTTTTAATGTGCTGTTGATGTATTGCACAGAAAATAGAGGAGTTACACACAGCTGGAAAAAAATTGTGAAAACCACAGTAAAAACAAACAATTAAGTCTTATTCTGTCTCCTTGTTAAATTGACAGTGACAATCTGAAGGCAGTTTATTTGACATGCATTAGTGATCATATCATATTTATGTCTTATTTTTGTGTATTAATCAGTATCAGTACAGTATCCTTATAACATTTAGCATATTGCAGAGATTTTGTGTGCTTTGGTGAAGGTCCTGCCTTAACCAGTATGACTGGAGAAAAGGAAAAGTGTGTGGCTGTGTTTTTTACACAGCGGCAGCAGAATTCGACTTTGACCACAGTTGCTAGTTGTAGTCACTTATTCAGGGATGCTATGAACACGGTATGAGAGTGCTATATAGAAGAACCTTTAGCAGAATAAGTTAGTTGTAATATGATCAAATTACTAATTTCATTTGTACATAGTAATGCTTCCATGGAAATGGTAACCAAAGACTAGGGATTAACATATTTATCTACCAAGACTGTTAATAAGTTACTCTTTCCTTTTTTAAGTTTAATTTTACACCAACTCGCTGAGAGGCAGACAGGTAACAAGGGAGACAGAGAGAGGAGGAGAGACCTGTGAAAAGTGTCAGCCCTCGCACTCGATTCGTTGATGCCATGCATGCAGTGTGCTGCAAAGGACACGGTGCGCTGTGCTGTGCTGTAACCACTCGGCCACCCTGATATTCTTGGTGAAAACACAAAAATTGCTTCTGCAACAATGAGAATGAAAAAGCACTCACTTATGTCTCTGCTGAAACTAAAACTTATTTTAAAGCTAGATGTTGATGAATACTGGTTAATTTTGACAACTTATTAACAACTGCATTCCTCCTGCAACAGTATAAATTTGTAAATGTTGCTTTATGGCTGCATGATAGATTGTTTTTTTTGGATCCCTGTGTGATCTCAGTGTCATATGACAATGATTCTGCCATGTTTGCATTAGCAGTGAGATCCTTTGCATCGTACTAAGTGCTCCCTTTTCCTCGCTAAGATGAGTTAACTAATAACCACCAAGTGCTTTATTTCTGACTCAACTGATATTCAGCACTAGCTGTATAGAGCAGGAGGGCACAGAAAAGAATATCTTTCACAATGTCAAATGTTGGATTTAGTTTTTGAATCGGTCTTCCTGTCTACAGCCCATCACATGATATTCTTGCTATTGGTTAACACAACTTAACTAGGAAAAGGGAGCACTTGGTTTGATGCAAGGCATCTCCCTGTTATTGCAAACATGTCAGAATCATTGTCACATGTCACATTATGAATTAAACCGGGGCAACCGCTGTCACTTTGATACCTCTGTAACACTGTGGGCAAAGTTGGACAATCAGCAGTCCTGTTTGATGCCTTGATGATCTTTAGACAGGTGTATATTCTGCAGTGCCCTCAGGTGCTTGAGAAAAGGTATTTAATCAAAACCCTGACTGCAAAAAGAGGAATGATCTTAGAGAACAGCAACACATCATGCTGAACTGCAAAACAAAAGCATAATGGTGTTTGATCTGTGGGGAGATAAAATAACCATTTTAGCTTGTATACATTCCACTTTAAAAAAGAACAAAACGGCATGAACTGGTAGCATTTAAAATAAAGTCTGAGTCTCAACAGCCTCCTACAATTCAAATCCAGATGTTTTAGAAATGAAGGGAAAGCTGTGTATTTGAAGAAAATGCATCATGTCAGTTAATGAAAATCTAATTACAAGGTAAACCAAATGATGAAAATTAGGTGGATAAACTTATTTCATTTTTCTACATTACAAAACAGCTCAAAATGCCCAGATTCCTCCTTGTCCTTCCCTGCTCTACACAGAGCGTCGCATCTACAGTCAACCTCATTGGCTGTGCTCATTGGTTGATGTGGGGACCAAAGATGTGCACGTGACTGTCTAGGCTTCCTTGTCATCACTTTTGGCCAGGCTGCTGTCTGTAGAGTCCACACGTTGTTCCTGTAGCAGTGAGGGATGTTGTTCTGTTCAGGCTCTGTGGTGCTGGCCTGCTCTGTGGGATCTGTGGCAGTGCTGCTCTTGGTGTTGGTGTCACTCTGTTGGTCTAGGTCACCTCCCTCCAGGAAAGTCGACCAACCCTTCAGCCATTCCTCTTGCTTGTGTGTCATCTCTTCCACCTGCACAAACACAATTAAGATGAAAGATGCACATTTTTTTTAAGAAGTAGAGTCTGAGATATCTTTAAAAGACTACTCCAGTGATATAGCATCAGGGGTGTTAATGATTCAGCGATTATTGATTAATTTCCCTTTTAATTGAATCAGTTAAAATATATATTAACTGACAGTGCAGAGTATGAACATTTTATTTAAACCTTTTTTGGACAATTAGGGGCAGCACAACAATCTATAAATATAGTAATTTATACAGAAGTAAAATCCAGCTTTGGGGGAGGTCATGCAGCCTAATGATGTTACTGACACGATAAAAATATATTCTTAATTAGTGCAGGGCATTCCACCCCTTGGTATGTTTTAGCAATTTTAATGATGCTAATTTATCAATCCTGACGTGTGTCATACACCATGCAATTCACATGCCACTAATTTGTCAGTAGGGAGAATAAAGATGCATGCGAGAAATTAAAGTGACATTAATGCTTTCCATGTGCATTGTGCTCATGGCCACCATGCACACAGTGAGCGGGAGTCTCACTCAGGAGTCCTTTAGCTGCTTCAGTGCTTTCTAGCTCGCTGTCATGGCTCACCGGAACACTTGGATGGAAAGAAGTCACTGTTAATGTTTTTAGTAACACCTGTGCTGTTTCTGCTGTGGCAGAATGCTGAATACTTTGAACGGTTGATGTGAAAAAGGCTTACACTAAGAAAAGCTGTTCATATGGTCCAGGTTTCAGACACTGACCACTGAAAAGGCTCCTTTCTCTGACAGAACTGGAGAAGTAAAGAAGTCAGAGATAGATGTCAGAATGAGGCTGTGAAAAATTCCTAGTTTCCATTTATTTTACGTTGAACTTTGTGGTACTTGATCCTTTGTATAATTAAAAACAAGCATGTTAAACCAGAAAAGAACAAAATCCAGGCCCTTAAGTGTAACCTCAGTGAAACAAAAGTGAGTTCACTGCAACAAAGGTGATCACTGGTGGAATTTAAAATAAAGACTAATTGGATGAAACAATGTTGTGTCTAATGCAAGATGACTCCACACTGTAAGGAATTTCCTCAACAAGTATTTATCCGAACTTGCACTGAAACACAGGCGGGTAAATGCTTCTGACTTGGCACAAGATGATCTGTGGAAATTGGTGTTTCAGTGACAGATCTGGCAGTGTGAGGACATTGCGAGCATCGTCCAAGAAGAAAACTATTGCTCACAAAATGGCACAAAGCTGCAAGATTAAAATTTGCCAAAGAATGTAAGATGAAGCCTGATGAATATTGGCAGCACATAATTTGATCAGATGAAAGCAAAATAGATAAGTTTGGATCAGATGGGCCCAGCAGGTTTGGTGTAGACCTGGCCAGGACCACTACAGTGACTGCATAGTGGGGTGTCTCCTAACTTGATTCTAACAGAGCAGCTCTGGAGTATTTGAAAGTAAAACCCCTCCAGCAGAGAGCAGCTGAAAAGAATCGTGTGAACAATGGCAGAACATTTCTCCACAGATTTGTACAAGACTGGTATCGTCCATACCCATGAGGATCAAATCTGTGGGCATGCAGAGCAGGAAATAAACAAATACAAGAGTGGAATCTCATCCCTGAAGGGCCTCATTCTTCATGAGCTTTGGCACAAAACAAGTAACATTCTACTAAAGATTTTAAGTTAGTTAACATTTCAGTGATATGGATCAGGTGTTTACTTCTGCTGTATACTTTGAGTAATTTAGGTCAGGTCCTAGGTCAAATTAGGACACATTGTCTAGATGCTAATAAAATATTTTCTGCATCCAGTCCTCAATGCAAACTATGTACCAGCCAATTGACTTGTTCCCCAGCAGGTGTAATTATTACCAATATTAATGTCTCCACTAGGGCCTAGAACGTATTTACATGAAAGCAATGCAGCAATCATTAACATAATTAATCCCAACTGTGCTTTTCCTGCTTTAACTATCAATATTGAAAAGGTCTATTTATGTGATTAACATCTGTAGAGTCTTTGTCATCACATCCACACTTGATCCTTCAGACCACTCGAGGGAGACAAAGTACATCTTACTGAAACAAAACCTGACAATGCACATTGAATTTACTGTTCAACATTTGTCCTCCCCTTTTACACCAGTTTTGTAAAAGTTAAAACAAAAGAACGTGTGTTTAATGTCTGTTTTCTAGCATTTATATAAACAGCTCCTTTTACTCAAAAGGACGGGAAGTATGGCAGCTCCTGGCGTGGTCAGATTAACGGTGGAAGAACAAATACATCCTCTGCTACAGAAAATGAAAAAAGTTAATGCAAAAACTCCATAGATGCTATTAGTTAATTTAACATAAATATCTACAACATCTTGTGGAAAGTAGCTTGAAACCGAAATAGCTTAAACACATGATGTAACAGTTGGAAACTACCAGTAACATACAGAGTGAGAAGTGTCTTCTCTGGATGTGACATTTGAACATGAGCTACAAATTTTAGTTGCTGGATGTGACATTTGAACATGAGCTACACATTTTAGTTGCATGGTGTCTGTTTAAAAAAACAAAAAGGTGAAACTTCTTTCCTTTAAATTTTGGACATATTTCCTGTCAGGTTCAGATGTCGAGCAGGCCCACTTAGCATGATGGTACTTGGAGGGCATTCTGTGTGAGAAAGGTGTTTGTGTGCTCGGCTAATTTGGTGCAGTAGAACCCCATCTTAAAGCAATCATAGTCAACAGCGGTGTGTCTGCACTT